CAATAAGCTAAACTCTGCCATCATTCCGGCACAGACGCTGATTCCTAGGAAGGATGTTCTCCAGAACAACATGGTAGGCTGAACAAAGTACAGCGCACTCGACTTGGTCGATGGGGATTACCAATTGCACATGATAGCGAGTGATACTCTGCTGACGGCGGTGAGTTCTCCGAGCGAATTGCTTTGGGAGTGGTTGGTGATGCTTCAAGAGCTGTCAGATGCACCAGCAACATTTAATTTTCTTGTGACGCAGTTGTTCAGGCTTCACTGGGTATGCACAAACATAATTCGACGACATCTTCGACCACGGTCGTGCGGGGCACGGAAGGGCAGATGAGGAAAACCACATCGTCCATTTGAGAGCGCTGCTCAAGCGCATGCGCACGAAAATGCTGCATGCTAATGCAGATAAATACATCTTCGGCGCTAAAGTAATCCACTTTTAGGGTGCTTTATTGGAATGCGTGGGCTTCACGCGTTCCTGCTAAGATCAAAAGCATTGTGAAGTGACCGGTTTCAAAGAACCAAAAGGACCTGCGCAAGTGGCTTGACATCGCCAACTTCTTGCACAATTATAGCGCGAATTATGCAAAATGGCACGGCCATGACGACGCCATATAATGGCTCATGGCTTGGTGGGGGAGGAAAAGCCGAACGGCTAGCTGATGTCAGCCTCCTCACTGTCGGTAAAGAAGTTGATGACTTCTTGGACAACACGTTCGCGATGCGATGGCTGAAAGCCAAGACATGCAGAAAGAATATGAAGACGAAAGAACCAGAAGACATGTTGTAAAATTTGAAATCGGATATTCGCTTTTATCAAATGCTAAAAACATTTTTACACCTGCAGTCTCTGCTGTCTTCAATAACAGGCTTCGTTCGAGATTTATCGCAGCTTAAGGTCGTGACCAAGCGAGGCCTTGCGTATACGCCAAATCTTCCGAGTAAGATGCGCACCAACTCGGTGTTTCATGTGGGCTTGCTTATGCCGTTTTGGAATCCGGCGCAAGTGAACGCGGAGGCATTGGCGTCAGGGCGGCACCTACAGGCACCCGACTACCCAGAAATTGAACCAGCAACTGGGTTTTTGCACGGAGTGCAACAATTTTCATTTTTAACGGTGTCAGGCGCTTCATCGTCGCACGAAGTAACGCATTCGTCTGATCGGCAGCCAGGAGCCGCTACAACAGAGCTGGATAGTCCTCAACGTTAGGCAATTGGTGCACAAAGTGCTCCAGTCTTGAGCACAGCGGTAGGCGACCACGGAAAGTTGCTCGACGGAGTGTCAATGACGACGGACTTTGTCCTCCAGAGCTCAAAGAACGAGTCACCGAACGGCGACTGACCAAGTCGTCATCGTCCACCGCCGACTTTCTCGATGAGAACGGTGGCGTCCACTATCATTCCTTGTGGGTCGACGTCGTCGACAGGCCCAACCCAAAACCATGTGAAGTGGGTGGGCTCCGAGAACTCATGGGAGCTTATCGTGTCACTTCGTCAAGACTGCCCAGACGTCGTGGACGCTTGTGTCATGACGATCCGTGTCGTCGTACTCCCCGCGCTTCTCAGCAGTAGCCTGGGAAGCTGGAGGGTCATGATCTGAGCTCAAGCTGTGTCCCTGAGCTGCTGTTGCTGTAGACTCACCCGTGTGAGAGAACACAGAGCTCGCGGATGCGTGTTTGATTAATCTGTACGTCGCAGGGCAAAAATATGTTGGAAGTCGGCGTTGCGCCTTGAGATTAGCAAACTCAAATCGAAGTTCTACGCGCACGTCCACATCCTTGTGGCTATGCTGTAAGTTAGGAAAGTTTCCGGTGTCGCTGCACCCATCGTCTAAAGAGCTCTTCATCATCTGCAGCATTTCGCCAGGAACGTGCACCACAGGAACAGACCACATTGTGGGTACAGGAGCGTCTCCTCTTAGAGCGCGATATCGAGCGCGTACCAATCCATTGATATTTCTTAAGGTACCAAAAAGCGAGCTCGATGAGCTTTTTGTTGGTCGAGTTTGGTTTGTGTAGTGGCCGGGGTCCCGAATATGTAGACGCCTAACGATCAAGTGATCACGTCTTTCGCTTCAGTAGCAGAATCCTCCGAGCGGAAGCCGTATTCCACACGAGGATCTAGGACCGAACGTGGATACATGCGCATGAAAGCCGCTATGAAGGCAGCCTCCAACTGCTGCTCCTGCGCCTCGCCCAGGCGATTGGTAACAAAATCGCTTCCCTCGTTAGTCGAGAGGTCAGGAAACGGACACAGTGTCCGCAATGGTTGAGCTGGGCTCACGTCATGCCGTTGGCTGCATCACCCTTTTCTTCTTCCCATTCGGGTAATCAATTCGTGGTCGACTTCCTCCGAATCCTTGACGAGAAAATCCGCCGCCCGTGGCGGGCGCGATGTGTGGTGCCCAGTTGCCGAGGGCTTGGTATATGCTTCCCGTGAAGCCGCGGACGTACTGTCCGGAGTTGCACCGCGTGCAGGAGATGAACAAGGACTCTGCCCGCGGGCGCTCTCGGAACCACGAGGCCGGATATTTTTCGTGTCATAGACACAGGGCTATTGAGTCGAGAATGTGTGAAGATGGTCTAAGGGACGTAACGGTGTCTTAGACACGCGAGCCTCAAACGAGGCGACAGTTAAAAGTAAATTGTGTGGATTTACAATTTTGATGGGGAGAGTGTAACGGGGTTGCTCGTCCCTGGTACTGAAGGGTAGGTCGCACAAGATGGTATGACCGTACAAAGGTGTGAATTACACAAGTTGGTGTAATCACACAATGGTATGGTTACACTGTAACAAGAAGCCACGACGTGGCGGAACTGCCAGTAGTTATGCACATCACAAGGTTTTACTATTTAATTGGGAAAACATAAGATTATAAATACAGGCCGAGTACAATAGCGATTTGTGCATTGACTTTTTGAGTGAAGAAATCAGTCGGATGGCAAACTTCGCGCGACTATCGTCAGTTGAATTAGGCTTTTGTATACCGACTATCCAGATGGCTCGCAAAGAAGAGCCCTATGATGCGATGACCGGCAGCTATTGGTTCTCGTGCGTGGACTTACATTAGGGTTACTCCCAAGTGAAGCTACTCGTATAAATTTACATTTAACTGAATTTAAAACTTCTGATGGTCTTTTGAATATTTCTATAAGGTGGTCGCTAAGGTTTTCCGAGATTTGCGTGAAGATTAGAAAAGAGAAGAGAAGTTTACTTCGACGAGACTAAGATGTTCACCAAGATGTCGACGAGAGTGTTGCCGCGCTGAACAGGGTTTTAAAGATATCTTTGTAGCTCAGTATTTTTTACATAAAAAATATACTTTAAATCGAATTACAATGTTCAGTCTCTAATTAAGAATTAACTAATCATAGACGATAAGTCTTATACTGGTAGAAATTAGAGTAGATGCAGCGTAAATAGAAAATGACGGTTTTACGTATGAATTTGGATGTGTAAATACACTCAATACCTTTTTGTACCTCTGACACGAGCGGCACCAGTACAGTCTTTCTTTAATTTTCTACTAGCACATTGTACAGCAGGCAATCAGTAACATGGAAAATGAGCGCAACAGTGGAATGACAGTTATGCGACAGATTCGATAGTTCGCACACAACTAAGGTCATACGCTTAAACCAATCAAGGTACAGTAAGACTGATTGACGAAACTAGCAAATGTCAAGGTGACAGTCCACGCCATCTTTTGATACAAAGCAGTATAACTAGGCGATCTGCTCAAATTATAATAGGCTCGTATCAGCCTGTCCTATATCCTTAATCAACGCACAGCAAAGTGAAAGACCTCAGAAATCGATAATTATTGTAGACAGCTGGAGAAAGAAGGAAACTTATGAGGAAATACGATGCGTCAATAGCCCCGATACAGTCGATAGAGATGATTTACGCACTGGAGGTGCTTCATCGACTCAACGCTATAAAACTGGCAGCAGAAATAATCTGAAATCTTATTGCTTTCATTTCAAAAGTGCAAAGTGATTGACAGAACGTATAGACTATCAGAACCGTAGACATGATGAGTTTATTTAAGTGATCTTAGCAGTGGTAAGTGCAAAAGATCGCTTCATCAGCTTTAGTATAATAACTTGGATTGGTGAACATTATTGGCGACAAACGATTTCAGTTTCGTTATGGCAAACATATGACGAACATGTTACATTAGTAGTGTGCTCAGGAATCAGACAAGAATGAGTGTTGGCACTTCTGCTATTCCTGAAGGTGGCCGAAATACCGACACGTTTGATCTGTTTGACTCACGTATCCACACGCATCCACACGGTCAGACTATACCCACACATGATACCTTGGCAGTTGAAGACGAGCCTCAATCTATATGGAATCATCATCTCAAAGTTCAGCAATTTTGAGCTATCAGATAATCTTAAAATCTTACACGACCTGGCAAAAAGCTAGTAATCAATTGAGGTAAACCCGTAAATATCTTATGCTGAAGGTCTGACGAAGAAAAGATTACCTTCTTTTCCTTTGACTGCATTTGTTTAAAGTCAACGCACATGATGATACTCATACAATAGACATAGCGTTTGTATCAATGTGACTCGGTGACTCGAAATTGCTACGAACATATGACTGCATTTCAGACTCCACTGTTGGGTAGACCAAAGAGGGAGATCGAGAGAAATTTCGAGTAGCTTTGATAGATTACCATGATGTTCTATAGTACCTAGGAGCTTTCCACACAGTGGAATGTGTGCTCGTTGCTTGTATGTAATTTGTTTTGTACTCAAATTTGCCTATAGAAATGTTGCGTAATGTATGGCGAGATTTTTTTTAATGCTGACTTCCTAGATACAGACGATTAATAAAAGTAGATATCACATTAAAGGTACTACTACTTCAGATTTTTTTATCAATAACAAACGAAGATCGGTTGATTTTTCACGATATTTCTCACGAAAAATAAAAAATGTTTGACTTCTTACCACGAAAAATCAAAAGTATGGCATAATCTCAAGCTTGGGAGGCTATTCAACTGCTCGCGAATCGTTCGACTGGAACCGGTTCCACCGCTGTAGAGCTTTAGGGCTTTGTTGTCGGCCAGATAACATCGTTCAAGTGCGTAAGACTCTCGAAGAGCGTTTTCTTCTTGAAGAAGTTGGAAGTACTGCTGCTTCTTACTCAAAGTCGACATCTTGTTTGGTTTATCAGGAATCTCGGTCAAGACAATTGACGTACGTTTGGCCAGTAATTTGCGAATTTGTGCTTCCAATTGAATCCATTCGGCCTCATCTTTTTCTCGTTTGGTCTTTATACGACTGCGGTAGCCCTTTTCATAACCACGTTGCTTATCCTTGCGTCGCTGATCTCTACCTACTGGATCAATGTTGATTCTGTGACGCAGACGACGGTTTGATTTCGGTGTTGGTATGCCTGAGACACCACATGATTTAGATTTCACAGGAGGAACTGCAACGACCTTGATATCTTGGATGTTGAGAATTTGGGCAGAGTTCTCGTAAGGCTTGTTATCCAGAAGTGTATCGATCAGAAGCTGTGCTTTGTCGTCTGATATGGGAAAGGTGGCGAAGTCTTCAGTTGTTGGAGAAATGGATATGGGCGAAAAATTGTGTCGCATCGGGTGACCGAAAAGTGTGTCCATGAAGATATTGAAATCTTCATCAATATCGATGTTGATGGGATCAATCCACACGGGAATCGGCTCTTCTCGTTTTCCTTGCACCATGGTGAGAGTTTATCACTTTGTTTTGGAAAGTGGGGTATAAATTCGCTATGGCAAATTGAATAGTGAATTTGACGTGTAACCGAGTTTTCGTTGCCCATGAACCGGCGGGCATGTTGATGTATGTAGACGAGTGGTAGGCCCTCTTTCACAGATGACGACTGGTATTCAAGTTTAAAGATGCAACGTAGCCATCCACAGTACAGCGTGGCGTGACTTGGACGATTCATTTAGCAGACGTGACGATTGAATGCCTGATATCCGCGATTCTAAGTCTACCATGTGATGCGGTCTACCCAGCCCTTCTTCATTGTTAGTGGTCTATAAGAGAATTAATCATAAAGATCAATCTCAAACATCACTGAATGACTTCATTCGAGCCACCCACGTATAAAATAGCAGTGACTTCGCTCTTCATTCTATTACGTTTTTAATCCCTTGATCTTCAAGGTGATTGTTATGTCGTAAGTGTACCCTTCAATTATCGCTTCGCTCTGTAACGAAGTAGCGAAAAGTGCATCGTTAGCAACGCTGGAAATATGTGAGAACCTTGTAAAATTCAATGAATTTATCCTCGCAGATTCATTATGACTTTGTAAATCTTTAAGTATTTGTTTTAGCGTCATAAAATATACACATTACTCATGAGGCCACTTTGCAGATAAAGTCCAGGCTATCATCAAAGCACTAAATCTAGATCTACACATCAATTCATCTTTAAATGTATCAGACATCATATTGAAACTCAAAACCAAATAGTCGTATGATAGTCAAGATTGTTAGAGATAATTTCCCCGAAATCAGCAAGTCGTCGTTGATTTAGGATCAACGTTGGCGCTGACAACAACTGCTGCTCCCTCATCGGGGTCGTATGGTATTCTCTATGTAACCAAGGCAAAAGGTTGACCACAAAATACCGTGCCCTCTTCCATTTTGATGTAATGTAGCACATTATTACAATGCATGGAGTCGACGACGCATCTCCAATAAGGCGTCTGGTTGTTAAATTTTGACTGTTACAAGTCGTAGGAGCAATGAAGGTAAAACACTGCGTGTCAAGTAAAGGTTTATTTAAGGAACAAGAATGGATAGACATTTTTAAGTTACCATGTATTTAAATATATATTTACATCAGAGTCTATATTTACATCATTATCAATATTTACATCCCCTATAACAAAACAGATATATTCGTTTTCCAATGGTACATACTTTTATACCAGGTATATGAATCTGGACTGTTAATGGTGCGATGCGTTGCAAACCCCTGGGACTCTTCTGACACATCCCACTAAGATATCTCAATCCAATAAAGTGAAAGCATATGTGACCGCTAGTCCCCAAGTCGAGAGCACTGTTCGGCTGTTCGGAACACAACTCACCATGATGTTATGCTGCAATGTGTTAGGCCTTTGCGCTGAAATCGTTGCTGCATAAGAATACCTGAAAGCATGCACCATTTATCCCTGCCGTTAGACTTTCTGATACAGAATATACACTTTGATGGGAGAAATAACTTTCTCATATTGAGCCCGCTTCAGGCTTTGCACGGATGAAAAGCGTCTTTTTTATCGCATTTTTCCTTGGTAGTGGCACAATCATGGTGGGTATTTTGTTACACGTCGTGGTTTCCCTTCAACTGAATGAGAGGGTTGAATTAGCAATTTTCAAGTATCCAATCAATCATTTTTTATTTCTGGTGGAAACATCATCAGGATGTGGTGGAAAAGACCCACCACGCGTGCTATTTCCGGGTAAGGAAGGGCGTCAAGGGATCGACTTGGTTCTTAGAACCAAATTTTGTGTCACATCTGCTGTCAAACGAAACTAAGTGGTTAGCTTGCTTTACAATCTCAAAAGTACATATATGTAGGATTTCTTTTTCAGAGCAGTACATATATATACATTTCTGGGTAAGGAAATTAAGTTTTGTACAGCTGTACACATATTAATTTGATACAATCGTTCCAAAAGTGTAAGATGGAAGTATACAAGATTGCAGTACCCACCCGCAAAACCCTCTTCACTAAGACGTGGACTACACAGGATCCCGAACTTATCGCGTAATAAACCGTGCCATATTCAATTACTGCGTTTTATGACTAGCCTTACCAATTCCGCTTTCCCGTGCCTGCTCCTCCGAGCATACTTGCACCGGAATCATCTATTCGTGCACCAAAACATCTAGCCCCACGAGTCCCCAGAAAAGGTGCGGTCCCCATGACTGACGCGATTCAGGTATTTTCCGTATGAAGGTGCCGAGATGCTTTCTAATGGAAGTAACTCCTCACTTTCTGCTTAAAAAATTCTGCCAGTAAGTGACGACGCTTGGCGTAGCTGTTACTGAAACGGGGGTACACGGACCCGCATACGAAAGGGGCGGGTCGCAACAAATTGTGGGACCGTACATAGGTGTGTATTACACAGATAGTGGTGTGGCTACACCGTAGTAAGAAGCCACCACGTGGTAGGATTGCCAGTAGTAATGCATATGACTATATTAATTAGATTTTGCTATACTAATTAGGTATTACTATACTAACCAAGAAAACCTAGGGTTAAAGATATTAGCGAATCTGCAACTAAAGCAAATAAATACTGTTTGTTTTTGAACAGATGAGTTTGTTTGCCTAGGTAACGCTTTAGAACTTCAAAGTAGCGGATTGCGATCCGCTACACTCGTACTGGTTCTTGGAAAGAACGTAAGGTCGTTGACCGTAGCTTAGCTTCTCTAAGCAAAGAGCCCTGATTTGCTCCCAACGCTTCAAAGCTGCGAAACTTCTTTGAAGCAGAGGGAAGATCACTTTCGGAGAGGCGTGTAGGAGCTACTTCGTTTTTAAAGTAAGCTCTTTAATTACGTCTGACTCTTAAGAGATAATATAAAAATATTATCTCTAGTAAATTCACGTAGAACAGGATATGTTCGCAATCTCTTTAGAATACTAGGAGTATAACTAAAGTAATATTTCCTGAGACCATGAGCGTTCCGTTGTAGTGCATTCGCAATACAGTCTTATAGTCCGCAGAAACTGTGCATATCTTAGGACAATTGCATTAAACAAACGCTTTTACTTTCTGACTTACTCGTTTGCGTTTCGCCAATTTTTTAGTTTGTACTTTCTGGCTTCCTGTCATACCATCACATATCCTGCACTTTACTCTCACTCCTATCGCATTAAAAACCATTAGTTTTGCCACGAAACGTTGTCTAGCCAAAATGAGCAAATCAGAGCTATTCTAAAGTTTCTCTACTAAGTCTGAAGCTCTTTTGTGCGGGTGTCAATGACAGCTCTAAACCAAAGCTATCCATTTACTTGAGATCAGGTGAGAGGCGATATCCAGGAGCACGCTTTAGATTAAGGTGAAAATCATCGGCTCAAGTCCTTGCAGCTGGTACAGCTCATTTAGATAAGACTGCTACTACCGCTATTAGTCGAACTTTACACAAGCCCTGGCTTCATAATCGCATTAAGCTTGGTGGGCCTATCGTTTGTCGAAGCATTTCAACGGTGTTGAGATTTGAAGCATCGAGCCATCTTGTCGGAGTGCGATCAAATCCTCACCGATCATAGTAAAACTGACACCAGCCAGATGAGCCGTCTTTTTAGAATTCCACCCACCATTATTACTCGATGTGTCATCTGACATACTGAAAATAAATTCACAATTATGGACTGCCAGCATTTTGTTGGAATCAGCAGGCTGGCTATAATTGCCGTCGTATGCGGCGAAGATCAAGCTTAATGACACGTTTCACACGTCGTAAAATTGTGCTTGACCATTCAAACATGTTTGACAACCAATACCTTTACTGAGCAGGATGTTTTACCGATTCTGATTATTCACCAAGCGATGCGTATGTTATTTGATGAGTGAGCTTCTCATCGTTAATACACTCCACACTGACACTGAGTATTGTGCTCTAATACAACAAAATTTCCGCATCATACGCCCAGCACCGTAACACATGTAGCGTCTGACTCGTACGCTATTTGATTCCTTGAATCATTGACGGCCCATCAATTAGTGGCGCCATCATCGTTGTTTGCGACAGTATCAGTCGGGGCAGAGCAAAGCGTATTCGCCTTCACATTTTGCTTACCCTTTTATGTTTTACCCAGATTTTAATTTGGTGAAGTAGGATATCCATCTCGCCGTTTGTGGTCGACATTTGGTGACGACTTTGTTAAGCATAGAAAGATAATCATTGAAATTTTGATGGCTCAGATCGATCTGGCGTGAATAAACTTGTCGATAGTATACTCTATAGCAAGAAGCTCATAGTCAAGATCGGAGTTTTCTTTCTGCCTTTTAAAGCTGATGAGACAGACCAAATTAAACGCGATGACTCGTTCATGCTCATTGGAGTGCAGTAAAACCTATAGCAAATGCTTAAGCGTCCTGAAATTGGCTAAAACGGACTTGAATTAGCCAGGCACTCATTAGCATAACCTATACGGCCGCCTCTCCTGTCGCTCCTTCGCATCATGCAACATCATTTTAAGAGGCTGGGTGAGTGTCTATCCCTTGTGTGGCAAAATAGATACTATATTTGTGCAAGTTGCTGGCCAGACCAATCAATTATCTTAAGTCATTCAGAATAGAGGAACTAGTCAATCTTTAATGAACGTTACCGCTGCAATATTGGCTCGCAGACAATGCATTTATGATTGCAATTCAGGAAAGGGCTTTCATCGGCACCAAATATACACATTTAAATTTGACAAACAGTTTATTAAAGCACAAACAGTCGATACTACTTGCAAAACATCGTGGCTCCTCACGTCCATCTATCTGTGCTCTGCGCGACAATGGACGAATACGTCGCTGAAATAAGTTTGTTCACCATCACAAAGTGGCAATAAGAGCTGTGTCACCTATAAGTTAAGCATCAATCGTGCATTAAAATTACTGTGACATAACTAGCCATTCGCAGATCATCCCGCTCGGGGGGCGTTCACTGCTGAACGAGAAACATCATTGGCATCAACCTAGTCAGAGGCACACATCAAGTTGCAGCAGGTCATGCTGATCTGCAGAACATCTGTTTCAAATATTGGAGTTTGTGCCGAAGGTGTGACTGTATTGAGCTTACTATAAGCATGCACTATTTGTATCTGGCGTTTCTGGCACAGAAAGTTGGCGCGCAGTGTAGAAATTTACCCCCACCGAACCCGCTTTGTGCTTCGCACCGAGGAAAGCATTTATAATATTACTCTGTTTTCATGGCAGGTGCTGCGGGGCTGCCGTAGCTTCGCGCTAGAGGAAGCGTCTTTAGGTCACCGACCATTCGTTCTATACAAGAACCAAGTACTAGTGCAGCGGATCGCAATCCGCCGCCTTAAAAGTACTTAAAAGGCTTAACCAAGGCAAACAAACACTTCTGTTCAAAATCCAGAAATGATTTTTATTTATCTTTTTATCCTAATTTAGATTTTCCTAAATATATATAGCAAAATCTAGATACATCCATAACTACCGGCTACCTAGCCCCGTCCCGTATTCTTGTTAAGTGTGTGGTCACACTATGCCCATCTTTTTTGACACGCACCCCCCCTGTTATTAGGGTTCGTGTAACCCCGTTAGGCTTTAGGTCCTGCTCCTTGTGGTGATGTACGAGCCCAACCGCTGTACGATTGATGAAGCGAAGTCTGAAGGTCAAAGCTTCTCGTGTGCAGACTACACGGGCCATGCAAGCGTCAACGCTCTCATGCTCCCTCCGTTCAAAGTGCAACCATTGAAGTTGTTTCTGTGCATGACCCGTTAGCTTTGCACCGAAAAAGTAAGACCCTCAGGGTCGCGGCAATAATAGCATCGAGGTTGAGTTTATATTCTTCAACTACGAGCGTTCTGTAGGTGCCTAGTTTGCTTTGCAAATTCAAGAGTTCATGTATTTGGTAAAAAAAAATGCTAGAGTCTGATGTATCACAACTCGCGAGTGCATGTTTCATCTTTGCATATTGAAACTTGTCCTTTTCGACACCAGAAAAAGGAGCAGAATTGCTTAGTCGTTCAAAAAGGAAGACAATGATCGATAAGGTATGGGCTAGTTATGGCAACTGACCATCATGAGCTGGTGCTTTGGTATATATATGGTTTTGCCTACCTCAAGTCTCCTATCCCACCAAGCAATCATTTCTATATGTTTTGTATGACACGGCGTTATGACTAGACAGATATTTATGGTACGTAAATACTGTAAAACGCTTGGACAAAGGAGCAATGAGAATTTACATTTACTACTCCTGATTGCGCAAACACATTTAACTTGATGTTTTACCACTATGATAAATACACCACCATTCCAGTATCCTATAAGAAGCCATGACACAAGGCCAACATCAAATTTTATAATAAAGGCTCGATTAAATTTCTTACAAGATGAAGATGTGTGTGGTGTTGAAAGGGCTGTGGGGGGCCGTTAGTGATAAAGGAGAAGACTCCGAGGCGAACGGCAAACGAGCACGCAGTGATAGCGCTTAACATCAGTGATTCAAAGCTGATGCACGAAGTGACGGCATTGGGTGTGAAGGAGGCTTGGAACATGTTGAAAACGGATCACAATACGCAAAACAGATTAAAAATTTGTGGTCGAAAAAAAGTTATTATCGGTCAAGCTTCCGGTAATGCGTCAACAAGCACGCGAAAGAGTTATAGAAGCTCGTGGGCTTGGTAAAGAACGCGAGCGTGAGAGCTCAGTAAAGAAGGCATCTGTGCGACAGTGCTGTGAAACCTGCCAGTAAGCAGTTAGTTTGAGGAAAAGTGAACAACTTATTCATTACAAACTCAACAGATAAGAGAACTGATTGCATTTATAAAATGACTTGGTGTAGCTACATTTTACATCTTCAAGAACGCGATTAATCTATTTGTCGTTCCATCTGTCTTTGTATGGGCAGCTGTCAACAACTGAATTGGATGTCGAGCAGTAAACAACGAGCATAAAAAAACTGAAGTGGATCGTGAGTTGAATTCCAAAAACGATTTTTCATGAAATTTGAGATGAAAGCGCTGTCTGTGTATATAGCAGCTGATTTTTGGTCAGTGATTGCTAGTTTTGAAGCTGCGAGACGAGAAATCTAGACGAGGATAAAATCTTATCGTCTCCTTAGAAATTCTAGGTGATGCTAGATAATTATCAAGACTTTCGGGGTTTAATATATCACAAGGTACGAGTCAGGAATTCAAGTACCGAGGGCTAGACAAAAAATCTCTTGGTCGCAAACTTCATATGTATGAGTCAATATTCGTATCCCCTCGTACTGGTAAGGTAAGTAGCTATACCGCGATAGTGAAAGGAAAGTTTTTTCACGACCAGGGTATCCAAATTGTTATCTCACAAATCAGTCATAATCGAAGCCCAACATCGTTGAAACGACAGCATTGAATGTATTGAGAATATTGGTCAGAATACAATTTTCCTTAATACATTAGTATTGACACCGTCTGAGCAGCAAGACATCTCGAAGTTTTATAAATGAAGGGTCACGGAAACCAATTTTACGTATTCAACGCATCTGGGATAACATTGTCTCAAACTACCATGTTCTCGTCCATATATCGTTGTCAAGAGATGGCATTATCGACGATTTTGATCTTCTCTGGCTCGTACTGTAAAAACCGCTGCGTAGAGAAAATGACAATCACTGAGCATTTTTTGATACAAGTACGGTGTCTTAATTTCGGCCCACAGTGACGCGTGGTCACAAACGGTTGCTCTTAGAATAGTTGCACTTGGAACTTTATGAGTGCGTTGCAGATAGCACGAAGCTGCTTGTCGTAAACCGAGAAGTTCTTTTCGATTGACGGCTTATGTCGAGACTGGTAGCTCGTAACAAGTGCATCAGCGCAGCCGATTATAGAACGCTAATACTATAAGCGATAGAATATAGCTCAGCTAGTTTGGTTTGTATCCCACTAGGGATTTACTGTTAGACAGGGGAGCAACTAGTCTTGAGATGAGCTTTTGAGAACTGATTGAATGTA